AGCCTGCAGCTTGGCTAACGGGTAACCCTCCTTTTCTGGGTAACCCGTCTTCATAACACACAAAAGATAATATGCTAGGATTCCAGATAAAAAATCGAACCCAACTTTGAACTAGTGGAACACTTGCTCACCATTTCAATACATCTTGGGAATTTCAAGCAACGTTTCCCTGGTGCAAATTTAAATATGGCAATAACAGCAAAATGATTTATTAGATCCATATTATTTCGAGAGAGCTCCCTAAAACCCAGGGGTTCCTATATCCCACGACTATATAGTTAACCAAAAACACATAAAAAGGATATTCCTTTACGGCCAATTCTATCCATGTCAAATTCACCATTTCCTAGACTGGCTTGTGAAGGAAATAGAACCAATTCGAAAAGGGTTTTCTTCTTACACTTTAAAAGATAGTTTCCATTTTGTCGACGAAATAAGACACCAAAATATTTCCGACAAACACATGATATCCTTGGACGTTGAGTCATTATTTACCAAAGTTCCCTTGGAAGAAACTATACATATCATTTGTGCTTATTCCTCGGATACCCGTCTGTCCCCTGAAATATTACGGAACTTATTACAATTGTGCACAAAAAATGGCCAATTCTTATTCAATGGACGATTATACCGACAAATTGACGGAGTCACAATGGGAAGCCCACTAGGACCTACCTTTGCTGACATATTTATGGGCCATTTAGAAGATAAAGTATCTGCCAAATTGAACAATGACACACTATACAGACGATATGTAGATGATATCTTTGCGATTGTGGACAATCCAAGGGAAGCCGAAGGATTATTGTCTACAATGAACAGTCTGCATCCTAAGATAAAATTTACCATGGAACAAGAACAAGATAACCATCTTTCCTTTCTCGGCGTTTACTTATCCAGACAGAAAGATGGTTCCATTACACGGACAGTCTTCCATAAAAACACCTGGAAAAGACAGTATTTGCATTATCTGAATTTTGTTCCCATTCAATGGAAACGTAACTTGGTATATACTCTTTTCCAGAGGACCAGAAAGATCTGTTCTACGGATACATTGGATGATGAATTAACCAACCTTAAACGCACCTTAATGAAGCGAGGATATCCAAGTCAGTTTATAGACAAATACAGTAAACCTCTAAGACCTAAACTGGCTCAGCAATTAGCACCAAAAAAGCCCGTTTTCATTTCCTTACCATTTAAGGGCGATAACATACTTAACACCATCAAAAGACGCCTTCTCAATGCCATTGAAAGGACATACTATGCTGCTGATCTGATAATTTGCAATCCGATGAAGCCTTTACCAATTCCTCATGCAAAGGATGCCATGCCGTTGCACGCCACTGCAAACTGTATTTATGAATTTACATGCACTTGCGGATGCAAGTACATAGGCCGAACGCAGAGGCAATTGGCCACCAGAGCTAAGGAACATTTACCTAGCTGGTTATTGAAACAAGAAAACAGAATTCCCTGGTCATCAATTACTGAACATCTGTTAGA